AGTTTAGGCGTTAAGTCCACTCTAGGCGGCAGCCACTCGGTAAAGTCGTGATGTCGAGAAAATTGTCTTGTCTGTGTTTAGTCCAGTGGACCGTGAAAGACGCTAAGCTGCTTTCATCCATATCTGTATCAGCAGTGGCTGTAAGAGGAGAGGATAAACAGAAAAGGAAAATCTTAAGCAATAGTCTTGCAGGGTATAGCGAGTCAGGAAAATTCAATCCAAGGCAGTGGATGACGGAGCAACTTCAAGGCAAGATTTAAACTTCAAGAATGTCGTCTTCTGGGATGTGGCGCCATGTAGATCTTGCGTAAACCGACGTTTCGGAGGAACGTATCGCCTCCATCTTCAGGGTAGAAAAATCCTGAGCGAGTAACCGGCTGCAATGTGCAACCACCTGCTCGCGCTGATTCCTCGCTCGCGGAGGCGATAAATTCCTCCGAAACGTCGGTTTACATAAGATCTTCACGGCGCCACATCCCAGAAGACGGCATTCTTCATAGTAACTGCCGTGAAAACCTCAAATCTTACAAGATTTAAACTTGTCTAAGAATTTCTCTCTCGCCCTTCCCTCCTCTCTCTCCTTCTCTCTCCCCTTTCCCCCTTCTCTTTCCTTCTCTCTCACCCTCCCTCATGGGTCTTGCTATTTCCTAACGTCCTCTGAAGTTCATTTTTATATTCAAGCTTATGTTCAGCCCAGTGTTGTCAACTTACTTCTGTGGAACAGCCTATGCTTATGGTTTGCGCCGAATGCTGTGCGTGGAAAGAGACCACAAATTCAGTGAAACACGAATTCATCCCCATGTATAGGAAAACTCGGGAGTTTTTTACTAAAACCTTCAGTAATATTTGAAGGTATGTTCCACGAAATATTTCAACAGACATCATGAAAGGCAGAAAGAAATTCTTCTAGACAATTCGTGAAAGAGACGCGTTGGGCTTCCGCGCTTAAGCTAAGGTCTCTGTATTTCAATTCGGTGGTTCCTTTCTAAAAAGAATAAACAACTTTAAAAATGTTCGTGTTTACTGCATATAAGATTTCTCTAAACAAGCATAAAGTTCCGAGAATATTTAAGATCTATTATCCTCCAGTGTAAGTTTCTAGTGGGTTCGCTACAGATATATTAAAATTGTATTCATACTTGTGAATAAAGTATTATTCAGAAGCAGAGCTGAAGATGGAGGCGACATGTTCCTCCGAAACGTAGGTTGTCTTTCAACGGACTACACGAAGTTATGAACCAGAAGATATAATTCTTCACAACCACTGCTATCAGAACCTCAATTATTACATTTTTATAGAATTTACGATCATAAAACATGGCTTAAGCACCTACAGTGATACAGTCCGCAACACATTAACAAATAATATCCCAAATAAAAACTGTAACATTGTCGCGTGAGGCTAAATAAGTGCGTAATAAATTTTACAGTTCAACTGTATTTATAAGCTGTTTTGTCAGTTTCTACACACCAGAAACATTTTACAATTACGGCCATAAATTTAGAATTACATGAATACGAAGAAGAGAGATAATGTGCTTCATCAGAGAGATCGCTTTAGTTCGAGCAGCGAAACATCCCGCAACAGTGAATACATGACGATGGGTTCGTGGTAGGTTTATTTAGTACTTTTCAACATTTTAAAGCACATTGGCTGCTATTTATACCACCTGAATTAACATCGAAAAGCTCCCCATTTTCCCCACAGAGTATGTTTATGCTCTCAATATGCTTCTCAGAATAAAAGCGCTTATTTTCATAAAGAGCATCAAGGAACTGATTTTTGTAACGAGGACCCAGCTTTATTTTTGTCAGCAAGGAACCGATTTCTTTAAACATTTCTGAGATTAAGTTATTCTATGTAGAATGTACTGAAAGTTGCGAACCAAATATTGGCACGGGTCCCACATACCAACATAAGAAAGATATGCATATCAACATGTGCCAGGAAGCAATTAATTATGTTGTATTTTGGCGTCCTGTTGCACTGATTCGTGTCCATAATGTGTATATATTAACCGTCTTTTAATGCATACAATTTCACTTGTCACTTCACACTACATGTTTCGGCATCATTCTGCCATCCTCAGGTGTATTAATCACGTTAAACCATTGCACTGCCTGCCATCAAGTGTCCATTTATATTGTTGGACACATACGTCCAGCAATACAACGCACGCAGCCACATAAGAAAGACACGGTATATACACAATTAAAACATAAGAAGAACGACTCCCATAGCGGATGAAAGCCATTACACACGAGTTTGATATACGACATGTAAGATGATAGATCTTAACAAGTTTTAACATATAAATTTTATTATTGAACAACGACGAACACACATTTTATATCATTTTATAAATGGACACTTGATGGCAAGCAGTGCAATGGTTTAACATGATTAATACACCTGAGGATGGCATAATGATGCCGAAACATGTAGTGTGAAGTGACAAGTGAAATTGTGTACACTAAAAGACGGTTAATATATACACATTATGGAGCAATTAATTTGTGAATTATAGCTGAAAGATTACATTTATGATATATGCTTAACATTTCCTCCATGAGATTCAATGCACGCCTCGACACGTCTCAACACAGACCGCCGCATTCGTTTAAACATGCCGGAGCAGAAGCGGACAGTCTGACAGGCATGCGCAGTGCGATGGTGAAGTGCTGCTTCATTGTCAACAGGAGCTGCATACACAAGGGCTCCTATGTGTTCCCACAGGTTAAAATCTAGAGGATTAAAAAGTGGCGAACATGGAGGCCATGAAGTGAGTTCTCCTCAACCTGTCCATCATTCACGATGGGTGTAACTGAAAACATCTGGCACAGCGCTGCTAAAATGGGCCGGAACCCCATCGCGCATGTGCCACATTCGTGCTCTGACTACCAGTGGCACATCTTCCAGTAGCCTTGGCAGGTCATGTAAGAGGAAATCTCTGCAGTGGTTGTCTCTAAGCCGACGTGGCAAAAACTTGGGGATCTACGAAACACCAATAATCCCTGCCCAGACATTAATGCTGAACTGCTGCTGGTATCACGACAGTTTTTCTTTCATCTATAAATTAATGTTTCCAGACATATGTTGACATGGATATTTCTTCTTGTTTCTGTATCTGGAACTCGTGTCAGAAGTCTGTCCGCATTCTACAACATTGCCACTTGCTTTCACGCAGGTGTCTTGTTCAGCTTGGTCTGCTTTAAATCTCTGACAACGTCGATGTCTTGCCGTTAGGTGATATTATACATTGCGTGATCCCTTAATGGGCAAGCTGGGTGACTGATCGCCCTATCACAAAATGAAAAATGGTGTGGGTAGAGTTATGGACATAATGTAAAAACGCTTTGTCGGTGCTTTTAGTGAGGATATGTCTGTGAAGGCCGGAAAAGGACCGCCATAAAACCAAGACCCGACCGAGTTTCGAAACAAATAACATCTTAACATATCAAAGCAAAATGATTTCTATTACATCACCTGCTTCACAACCTACCACACTCTGAATTTCGTTTGTTCGGTCTATCTGCTCCGTATGATTCTCAGAATACATAGCCATTATCATCCTAAATAATATTAACCGTGTTTTTACGTACCGGGTAAATTGTGTGTGTGAAATTTTAAATATTATTTTCATAAATTTCCGGCTTCAATTTTTTAACACATATTCTCACAATCATTAACACCAACATGTTTTAAAAGATACTAAATGACTGTTCGAGCTAAAAGCTTATTTTCATTCCGAAATCATTTCTGTAGAATAAACCTACACTAGATCGATTTTTTTAACATGAATTTAAATTTCTGATATTCCACAAAACCCTCTCAAAATACTGTCAGTTTTTCAGCACAACTCTACCTACTGCCCCTATTCTGCCACCGACAATAAGCAATTACATTTATTTCCATGGACGTAAAGCGGTTGCGGCGTGAAGCTGACCTTCATCTAATGCCGAAGTCAAGAATGGTGCAGCTCTATGCCTTTAATCTCTCAAATATCTTCATGGCATAGCGTTTACTTAATTGAGCACAGAGACAATTTTTACTTTTACCTCTCCTATTTAGTGTTAGCCTCATAATACTTCGTTGTGTTTATTGTATGTACTTGCCACCTGCTTCACAAGCTAGCGGCTGTATGAAGACATAACTGTACTTAGAAGATGAATCCAGAATGACAATTACTCATGATTGAACTGCCTCTGAAAAGCACGTTTTGTAAATCGATGCCTCGGTAAAATAGCAAAGGTGGGATGGCCAGTTATAATAACAAATGATAAACTATGGAAACAGACAAATTAAATAAAGCTAAAGTTAACAAACAACGAAAGGAGAAGCAGCTCAACAACAAACACAGACTCCTGACCAATTATATAAAGAAGAAAAAACACTGCCCAGATCTCCAGGGGCGGCAGTCTACCCAAACCCCCGTCGATAGACGGGACAAAAAGACATGAATTTTAGCTGTTTAAGATTTTAAGTGTTAAGAATTTCATTAATAATTAAACTCGCCATTTTTAACTTAATTTAGAATCTTTTTATAAAACTTAGAACAATTTTTAACTTGATGTACCATGATTTATGTAATAGTAGTTTCCTCAACATGTTGTTATTTGCCTTCTGAAGATGGTCATTAATTGATCGAAACATGTAAAAGCATCATATATATACACCTTTGAGTCATACTGACGGTGTAGTCAATTCATCCTATAGAAGTAAAAATAACTGTAGAGATTACCAGACGTAAGTGGAACTGGATTAGCCATACTCTTCGAAAGGAAAATGCAGTTGGGAAGGAGGTTATGGAGTGGAGACCACAAGAACAAAGAGGAGTTGGCAGAGAACAATACGAGAGGAAGCCCTGGCTACTGGGAAGACATGGAGAGAAATTAAACAACTCAGCAAGAACTGCGTGAGATGATGGCACTTTGTTAATGCCCTGTACTCCGGTGGGAGCTAAAGACCGATTATAATGACGATAACTGCCTCCGCTCACCTTTTCTGACGGCGCAGTGGACCTGGAGCACACAGCCAATGAGAAGCAGCCACGTGGCTCTCGTCATCGCGTCACATCACGGCCTCCTCTTTTGTGTCAGGATTTCCTATTCCCACGCGTCTCATTGCGAGGAGCTGGACGGAGGATGCGACGCCTCTGTAAATAAAAATTGTTCCTTATACTTTGGAGCCAAGAGAGGAGTATCAACAGGAGTTTGGAGAAATTTGCATGCTGAAGAGTTCAACAATTAGTACTCCTCACCAGACATCAGTACATCCAGTAAGATGAAAAAAGGTGATGTAAACGGATGGGACACGTGCACAGAGAAGTGTAGTAACAAATCTGATATGGAAACACCAATCCAAAATTCAAGGCATAGAGAGGAGGATGGTGTGAAAATCGGCAATAAATCAATAGGATAGGAGAAAGTGGACTGGATTGGTCTTGCTCGGCATATAAACCAGTGATTTCAATCCATAAGGAGCGGGCAATAACTTCACTACCTGAGGGAGTACTACCTTCTTAGAAAACTCTACTCCAGGGGATTAATTTTGTTTTGAATAAAAATATTCCATAAACAATTCCATTTTAAATCCTTGGTTTCTTTATATATATATATACAGTCTTGCTAAATTGTATGCATATTCAATAAATCCACAAATAGTTTGTGTCATTAAAACAACAAAATGTCGGATTTTAACTACTCCATATAACGTGGCTAGGATAGGAGAGACAAGGCATGTCTATAGAATTTCTGTGGACATCTGGACATCTAACCTGGTAAATGTCTAATTGGAAAATAGAGATTAAACGGAAGAGTAAGTAAGATACGATATTAGGAAGAAAATTTGCGAGAGGTAGAGATATATGGAACTAAGTCAGGATCGTGCAAAATAATAGCAGTGCTTTTTCAGTTTCTAATATCTTGGTAATAAATGGTAAAGGTATCCCTGTAACGGGCAGTGGAGGGCCATAAGGATGTGAGAGGTTGAGGCTCCCACATTGTCTAGACAATCGACCCACAGATGGAAGTAAGGTTGTCAGCCTTACGTGCTGGCCGCCTGTGGATGTTATATAAGGACTATTACGGCATAGTTCAGCTGAGAAAAAGAATCTCTGGTCGTGGGCCTCAAGGGGCTGACGCCAAGACGAACTGATTGGCGGTAAACAGCCAGTCGTAAAGTAACTCTGACTCAGAAATGAGTCGTAGAACAAGAATGAAAATGAAGCGTCCTCGACAGTCAGCTGATTGTGAGTTATTGCAATTACTTTTGATATTATACAGGAAATTGTTAATAAATCAAATCATCCGGCAGAAACCCCCGTTATTATTAATCACGCAGTCATAAATACGTGACAATATGTACCAAATTCAAAATCAGATACAAACCTGGAGTTTAATGACTTGAAGCTTGAGATGAAGAACGGATTCTTAGGCAAATTTTTACAATAAAATATTCATATTTATCAAATTATAGATCGTGTTTCCTCGTAAGAAGAAATTTCACTTCAACTTCGTTTCGTAACACTACTTTTGAATCTCCCTGTGACTGTTAGTAGCTGCGACAGCAACATCTGCGCGACGCACATCTCGAGCTATGTCCTATAAGACCTACTTACAAGAAACGTTGAAGTTGCCTGTAATGAAATCACCCCTTTCATCTAACCTGCGCACACCCCCTTTCTCTTCCTTATGAGGCGAAGAGCTAAGTTCAGAGCTCATTTCGAGAGGGGTTGGGGTGTGTTTAGAATTAGGTCACGACGAGGACGGCGCGTAAGGGGGCGTGTCCATATGAAACACAATGTCTTGTCTGGTGTGATATCAGACGACATTTGTGTGCAAGGGGTTATGAACATATTGGATATAGCTGCTTAAAATTCGAAGCTATCCAGAAACTTTAAAGAATAAAACTTTATTTTAAGTCTGTTTTAGCAGGTATCAAAGTTGAAAGAGGTCATGTAATATCATTGTATATAACTGCAGATTTTCAGTGCAGAATGTTCGCTATGGAAAAGCGTTACAAGCCGGTAACAGAGTTCCTGAGGTTAAAAGGTTTTCTACTAGTATAGACCTTCTCTGATGGAATCGCTTAATTTCAGTATGAGCACAGAATCGATATTTTAAATAACCTTATTCGCCATGTAATATCGAAAGACCGTAAACTTTTTCTTCCTCATAAATTGGTGCCAATATTCTCTGTAGATGGCAAAGAGTTTATCGAGCCTAGCAATAAACTGAAATAGGAATATGTTCTGAATACACCTTCTTGCCCTAATCCACAATTCTAAGGAGTAAGTCCAGAATGTCGCTTCAGCAGTTTTTGTAAAGGCCCTTCATAAACTACAAAGAACTATGAAAACATCTATTGTACACTTCATAGGCTGTTACGGTGTGCTTTAACAACTGAGTGACGCAACTGAATAATATATGACTTATCCCTTCAAACTGACATCTGAATCACATAAATTAATAAATGCAGCACAAGGGTTAGGTAATTACAGGTTGTGGTCCACTGATATATTGATTCTTGAATTATTAACCATACTTTCAACTAAGTGACTTACATAGCATTCAGCGGAAGGTTACATAAAACGACTGTCGATATCTCGTTTTGAATTAGTATCACATTACATTTCCGGGGCAACTGACTATGTATGTATGTAAGTATGTATGTGTAAGGGCTGGGTCATAAAATCCGGCCCTCGCACCGCGAACTTCAATGATCTATTGTGCTTCCCCTTTGGATTAACCCTTTATTAATCCTACACTTCGAATGAAATGTAGGACTTTATTTATGGGGGCGTCATAAAAGTCACTTGGTTCCATGAAGAACTGACCCAGGTGACAAAATCTTAAATAAGCCATGGCCTCACAATCACACAGGATGTGTGTGGCCTATTCATCTTATAGGCACCTCTCACAAGTTGGGTCATATGTCAGTCCCAGTTTGAAAAGGTGCCCTTTAAGGTGGCAGTGTCCGGTAAGTAATCCTACCACTCATCTTCGTTGATCTCTGTTTAATTTCAGCAGGTTCCTCGTTCTTCTGACAGAGGGGCCTGGTGTAAATTCCTTTGCCTGTTTGAGCCCAATTCTAGGCAACTGACTAAACATGTAGAAAAATAAGCCTGGATAGCTTTAAATTCTAACCTGAGGCCTCAAAAATAAAAGGCAGCTTCTTGCTTGACTAATATTTCGAACATGTTCCTCCGAAGAGTCAGTAGACTTTCGACCAACTCCAGCGCGTTATATACCAGAAACCAGGACTCTTCTGTTATCCCTCCAGCAGCCACACGCGGTGATGGACAAAGAAACATTTACTTCGCACGTTTTTACCTACAATTTTCTTTAATTATATTTTTCCTTTTTTTCTTCGTGGTGCAGAAAATTAATGAAGAGAATCCCGACAGTATCTGACGAGAAACATGTTGTTGAGTGCTGTGGGCATCTCTCGTTTACAGGGGCGACTGTGTAGTCCAGCGAACATTACCATTAGAATTGGTGAACTGGTCACAGGTGGCAAAAAGAATTGGCGTGTTACAGCGATGTCGTGGGTTGCAAGAAAACTGAGTGTGAAGCGCCTGAAATGTGAGGTTCGCTTACATGTGAGCTGCCATACACTCACTCACTCATGGGGCTGAGCCCTTCTGAGAAACTGCCAATTGTGCAGCTACTCAAGAACTTCCCAGCATATTATGGATCCCGAATGTTCAATTCTGTGTTCACAAGAGCCATCAGCTCGTCCATATCCTGACCCAGATCAATCCAATCCATACCTTCTCATCCTATCTAACATGCATTTCAATATTGTCCACCCACCTACGTCTTGATCTTCCCAGTGGTCTCCTTCCTTCTGGATTTCCCACCAATATCCTATATGCATTCTTTCTCTCCCACATTCGCGCTACATGCCGTTTCCATCTCATCTTCCTTGGCTTGATTATTCTAATGATACTTCACCACACAAAGATACCGCTGTATAAGCACAACAAACGCGGATCTTCTGTAATAAGCAGGAACTTGTGGCTCGAAAATTAAGTAAAATATATTTTCTAAATTTTCAGAGTTCTAATTATAGATTAAATGAGTTAATATCTAAACTACACACTTCCTGCTTTATTATGATACAAATGTATTTTATTTCGTGAATTTATCAGTGTTACTTTTTCCTGCATTGTGCCCTGTAATTTGTATAAGTCGCTGAGACAAATGAGTATATTGAGAGTTAGCAGATAATTCAGAGCGCGATGTTCAATGTTAGTAGTTTCCGCAGACCCAGTTCCTTACTGGATATGTTTGTAAATTCGAGGAAATGCCTGTGATTCTTTTATCGTTACTGACAAAATTTAGGCGCTATTAAAGAAAAGACTAATGGATAATATATATGGATAAATACCGTCTTAAGTGCAACAAATTTTTATTGTAGTTTTTACTTCTTTTCCTCCTCCACACTACATGTTTCGGCCCTAAACGGCCATCATCAGGTGTGTATCACTCACGTAGCTGTTACACTGCTTTTTAAAATTTAAAATTACCAGTCTTTCTANAAAAATTGAAAAAGAAAGAACAGAGATCTTATAGACATTTTAACTTGAATTAAGTTTTAAAAAGTGCTAATTTAAAAATCAAATCGACGCGTGTAGATTAACAAAGATTTTATACAATTAGAAAGACTGGTAATTTTAAATTTTAAAAAGCAGTGTAACAGCTACGTGAGTGATACACACCTGATGATGGCCATTTAGGGCCGAAACATGTAGTGTGGAGGAGGAAAAGAAGTAAAAACTACAATAAAAATTTGTTGCACTTGAGACGGTATTTATCCATATATATTGTGTGAGTGTAACAGGATGCTGAAATATAATATTACTAATGGATAAGTTCTCATTATGTTAGAATGGCGTTCCTACATTGTTACGAAGTTCTATTTATAGCATTCGAATATTTAAGTTTCAACGAGAATTAAAATGGAAATTATGCCTTTCAGTTGTGTTGAAATTTCTGTCTCTATGAGCATATTAATGGTCTTAACGGAGTATGGCGTACTTAGACTTAAGTTTACATGTATAATTCTGAAGTTCTGACCCAAGACTCCATAATATCAGCATGATTTGTGGTTTCATTGAGAAAATAAGATATTTCTTGATCTGATTA